GGCGAGAGCGAGAGCAACTCGAGAGGGCGAAGCAGCGCGGGTGGGTGCCTAGATAGGGAATGAGATGACCGAATGATTTAGGGTTTGGTGAGGGAGGGGAGAGGGAGCCGGCGCCGCTTATATATGAAGAGGGAGGCGGAGAGCAGCTGGGCTGTCGCCTTGGGTCGTGGGGGAGAGGGGAAGGTGGAGAGCAGCTGGGCCGTCGCCTTTGGGCCATGGGGGAGAGGGGGTGGCGGGCCGCTGTCGGGCCGATCCTAAAAAGCCGAGCTGTTTCGTGCCAGCCCACGGGTGTCGGTGTTTCGAGTAAACACCAACGAGTAAATTTGTGTTATTACGTGTCTGACCCGGATGGTGTGCTAAAAAGACATAAGGTTTATACTGGTTCGGGCAGAATATCCCTACATCCAGTTCATGGCTGTTGTTTTTCTTGTTATTAGCACTAAAAAGTTCATAGTAGGGGTTACAAATGGACGAGAGAGGGATAGGTCCTAAGTCTCTGGAGGAAAGGTCGAATGGGTGCTGAGGGCTAGATCGTTGCTTAGTTATGTGTTCGAGGTTCGATTCTAGTGGTTCTGCTGTGAGGCGACGTGATGCGTGGTGCGATGATTCGATCCCTCCTCTTAGTGGGGTGTCCTGCTTTCTTAGTGGGGTGTCATGCTTTCTCTTTTATAGGCCAAGGAAGAGCATGGATTACAGATGGGAGAAAAGAGGAAAACGAGGGGCAAAGGAAGTCCTTCAAGGACGTCGGGTCTTAATTTCCCTCTGTGCGGGCCCCGCTGACATGGCAGGCGGTGACAGGGACAGCCCCATGTCGGGCGCATGTCTGTCGACCCTAACAGGGCCGCACTGAGCGTCTGTCCGCTGATGATGCCATGTCTTGGCATTATCAGCGGGTTGTCACGTCCCATCCCGCCCCGGTGGGCGGCGCGGCGTACCAAGGTGCTGATCAGCGGCCATATAGGGAGCAGGCGGCACAGTGACTGCACGTCCATTACTATGGGTGATGCGAGTTTCCTTCTAGACCATAGTGGTTGTCGTGAGCTTCCGTAAGGATCCATGCCCGAGGGCAAATGACGGTGCTCACAACACTGTGAGGCAAATGTCGGCGCCTATAACACTGTTTGGGCTTTGACATGCCTGGAAGATCGCAAAGCACCCTTCTGTCATGTCCTGATGGTACTTTCCTGCAGGTGTGCAGGGTACAGTCCTCGGTATTATGGTTGACTTGAGTTCCCCGCCTTATCTGTGCACGTCATTATAAAGGAGTCGCGCGCAGACGTTGGGCGAGGCGGAGCCAGTCCTCAGACGTCGGGCGAGGCGAAGCCATCCCTCAGGGGTCGAACGAAGTGGAGCCAGCCCTCAGACATCGGGCGAGACGGAGCCAGTCCTCAGACGTCGGGCGAGGCGGAGCCATCCCTCGGGTGTCGGGCGAAGCGGAGCTAGCCCTCAGACGTCGGGCGAGGCGGAGCCAGCCCTCGGGGGTCGAGCGAGGCGGAACCGGCCCTCGGATGTCGGGCGAGGCGGAACCACCCCTCTGACGTCGGGTGAGGCGGAGCCAGCCCTCGGACGTCGGGCGAGGCAGAGCCAACCCTCAGGGATCAGGCGAGACGGGTCCCACGGCCGCAGCGCCCACCGAGGCGGAGCCAACCCTCGGGGGTCAGACGAGGCAGGGCACATGGTCTTGGTGGTCGAACGAGACAGGACCCGGCAAGCGGTGTAGTCGCACTCTTGATCGCGCGGACGAATCAACGCTGATGGTCATTAGCTCATCCTCTTTTGGCACCCTAGTATTAGTCCCTGACAACGGACCTAGGGTACGGCCCAGGCACGGCCTGTTGTACCGGGCCGGGCCAGCCTGGGCCCGCACGTCACTGGGTCGGGCCGTGCTCGTGTCGGGCTAAAAAAGCGGGCTTCGTGCCATGCCGTCGTGCCTCGAGCTGCATGGACATTTATATCTATGGCTGTCAACGTACTCTATTGTTTGTTCTTTTTCTTCTGAGGTAATCTTATCGAGTTATCGTAGGATATGTATATCCTTATTTAAAATTATTGCGGAATCCAGTCCAGTTCGCTATACCCATGAGCCAGCACCCCTCGGGCCCAAGTCCACCTGAGCCCACAACATACTAAGGTCTTGATCCTAACTCAACCCAAAAGACTAGCGTGATAAGTGAAAACTGCTCCCATGAGCCTGCGCCTTATATGTTGTACTTCTCCACCATGAATTACCGATGTGAGACTAAACATAACAATCGCCTCCCCCACCCCGTCACACATCGGGCTCAACTCTTCAAATCACAACCCCGTGTGATCTCCAGAAGACGTTCTCCAGGCCCCGAGTCCAACGCTCCATGTCACACACAACCCGTGTGACCTCTGAGACATTAATTGGCTCCCCCGTCACCATGTGACCCTTCATATTTTCTTTTCCAACCATGGGATTAAACCTAACAATTTTGACGGCTGCGTGCGGCTAATGAGGATTGACATGCAACTTGTACCGATGCATTGGTGATGTGTAAGCAAAGGAAAGTGGACATCATTTTGAATTTCTAATGTATGCGAGCTGGACTTTATGAAATATTTCATTTTTGAACTATATAAAAAGTTGTCATATATATATATATATATATATATATATATATATATATATATATATATATATAACAAAATTGAGGGAGTAACTGGGAACGAAAGGGAGATGCATGCTCTCGTTTTGGACACTATCCAATCCCCCGTCACCAAATCTTGTTCGTAATAAAAAATATGCATCGAACGTGTCGAGAGAACCTAGTACACAAGGAGTGGGGGCATGTGCCCCCATTCAAATTCGGGGTTTCTAAAGAAAATATACCTTCTTTCGTGTAGCTATGCTCCCATTCAAATTATGGGTTTCTAAAGAGAATATACCTTCTTTCGTGTAGCTATAGAGGAATTCTTGAAAATGTAGTAGTTGTAGTCCTAACTGACGAGTAACAGCTCGTGATCGTTCTCAATAGTTCCGCCGCACTTGTCCCGGTACGTACACGCCACCTTCGTAGTCTATGAAATCTTTGTTGTGTTGTGGTCTCCGACGGCGATGGAGACGACGATGGGCCCGGCCGAAGGTAACTGCTGAAAACATTTGGAACTCGTCGAGGGCCAGGGTGACACCTCCTCGAACCCTCTCATGATTAGGTCCGTGCGCGGCGTGGCGCTGGCCTGGCATGTACCATCGTCCATTCCCTTTAAGGGAAGGATAGGAGGCCGACGGCGCCAAGCCATTCTTGCTCACATACTGGAAAGCTAGATGGCGAGGCCGTCGCCTTTGCAGCCTCGCTCACGTGCTCTGACAGCAGCTGCACGGCTAGGCCCTTGTTGTTCACCCCTATGATATGATAGCGTGGTGGCTCTCCAATGCACCCGTCTTACCATGATGATGTCGTTTGGGTCCGACATCTTCAGTTTGACATAGGTGTAATGAATTTCACGTAGCACGGCTATCCTACGGCCTAATTTGGAAACTCTAACCCCTCTGGCATCCCGGACTTTTCCTGGGTGTGTAATCTATGGGGATATTATTCGAATTATCATTCTAGTTCTTAGTGGAGGATTTTTCATCCCTGGGTTTTGCTCCCCTTGCTTCCAAAAGAGCCCTAAGATGGCATGGTACGCCCCTGGGAAGTTCGCCACCAGGTCAATTTTCTCGAGAGGAACTGCATGCTTGCCCAACATGACCCCATGGAAGGGCCCCACATGGGGGCTAATACATGAGCGTGGAATGCACACAGCGTCAAGGGTGTCGATGTAGAGGATGTTGACTTTGCTCCCTCTATCCATGAGCACCTTCGACATGCCCTTTCCCATGACAACGGGGTCGACGATGAGTGACTACCACCGGCCTAGTTGTGGCACATGATCGGGGTGATCTGAACGTGATGGCGGACTCCGACCACTTGAGGTATGAGGGGACCGCTCGATGGTGTATAGACGTCACAAAAAGCGAACTTAGGTGCTTCTCAAAGTGCCCCGCGGGGGCTTGGTGTGTTGCTTGCCGGGGAGTTCGGGCCCAATGAAGTCGAGGCCACGCTGCTTCTTGCCCCTCTGTCGATCACGACACAAAGAAGAGCCCTCGCCGTCAATGGTGGCGACTATAGCCTTGCCTCGATCAAGGTTGGCGCCCACCACTTCTTCTCCCCCAACGTGCTTGGTTACAGCGCCAAGGAGCTCCTCAACTGTGTACAATCGCTCACACCCAAGCTTATGAAGCAAGGTCTTGGTTTTGCATCTGGATATGAAGACGTCGATGACAACGGCGTCCTCGGCATCCAGGACATCAGTAGTGCATTGCTTTGAGAAGCACCTGATGAAGTACCTGCCAAGAATATTCACTAATGTGCAATGTGCAGGTTTTAATTACCTGTATTGAACCTGTTTTTCCTAGGAATCCGTGGGAAAAGATGATGAGGAAACTTACTGACAAAGCATACAATTTGTACGGATAAAAGAAAAGGCAAACTCTGGTTATTGTATATAGGTATTATTACAGTATACGTCATGCTAGATTTACATCCTCACAACATCCAACACTGCATACATGTGATACACATCTACATGAAAGTAAATCTCTTTTTTTTGCTTCTCACAGATGCAACCTTTTTTTTTTCACCATGCTATACGATATTGTTTATGTTCATATGGACTTGTTTCTCTTCATTGCACGAAATCCGCGACGATACTCACCCAGAGCCCAGATGGGGAACGCGTTGCGGTAGTTGGGGTAATTGAAGAAAAGAGAGCAGTTGAAGCATCCGACGTGCTCCTATCATAGAAATGCAAGTGCAGTCAACAAAACCACCTTGACCTTTGATAATCAAACACCACATACGCAATGCCGAAATATGGCGTGCAATTATGCATCCCCTAAATATCTAAATAGGTTCTCTCAAATGTCCACCGTGCACCAAATAAAGCATGTTAGATTCATGAACTTGAGTTTAGACATAATAATGCCTTGAGTGTCATGTTTGTGGCGCATTTTCAAAAGCGGGTGCCTTATGCAGAGGTGGCCCATTTCTACAGTGTCGTGGGAGATTTTTGGAGATGTTCGTTAAGGCCAGCCTCTGGAAATAAAATGAAGAGTCTATGTAAATCAGTTTTGTGGTAGTGACTTGAGTATGACTAATTTTATAAGCTATTGTTTCAAATAGTAAAAAAAGCTTGCTTTATTCTTGTAGTCGTAATTCGATTGCAGTCTTGTGATTTATCATTTATGTCAGATCCATAGGGATGCTTTTTATTGTCCGTTTGGATGTGAGAATCACTTCCGATTCTCTTCAGAATCTCTAGAAACTCTGCCAAACGGTCAAAGACAATACTGATTCTAGGTAGAAACATCTCTGGTGACTCTCTCTTTTTGTACTAGATATCAGAATCACCTTCAGGGTAGTTTCTCCTGATTCTGATTCTTGCTTTCCTATCTCCCGTTTAATCTAGCTAGAAATATTTCTAGTGACCCTCTTCAAGTGAAACCAATTAAAATTGCTTGCTCTTGATTTGTTTCTCGCCCATAAAAAATTACCGTTTTTGTACAACTTACATATATTTTTATAATTTTTTCATGTAAACCAATGATTTTTGCCACTCTTCAAGAATCAGATCTGGCCAACTAGCAAAACGATTTGATAAAGCAATTCTGATTCACTAGAAGAAACGTTTCTAAAAAGAGACTTGAATCCAAAATGTTTCTAAGAGAATATGGATCTCTACCAAACACAACCTTATTTGGGGAATGTATAAAGAATTACATCATGCAGTTACATATTCTAGTCACCCAGTATATTGTTTGTTCACATATCCATTTGTGACAAAAAAGGGTGCCTCATTATTTCAATACTAATATGCCAAGCCATATGATAGGTTTTTTTTTTGTGTGTTCATCAACAATATGTTCCAACAATTTTCAAGACAAGTTAAGAGAAACATAACAAGTTCATTTGTCAATACAATGTATTACTATCATAAAAAATAGAATGGAACTTACTTGCTGTGGAAACTCTCCTGTCTCCAACTGCATATTGATCAATTCTTTTGCAGCACGATGCAATGGTGTTGGATCTCGGTCAATCTTGTATTAGAAAAGCGATATGTCAATAGATTGATAAATTGTACGTTCTTGTCAATATGTAAAATAAAAGAATAAATGAACTGTACCTGTCCAGCATAAATTAAAGCGAGCATTGCCCAAGCAGTATTCACAGCGTGAGCATGGTCACCTTCGATATTTACATAAACCTATTTAGGATTAAAGGGGGAGATAAGTTCAAAGATGAATGCAAATACTTTAGATACTAAAGAAATATATATTTTTTCACATTGCATTAAATATTGTGCCCGTCATGACTTGCTAAGGACTTGAGACTAAAGGCTTTGTGTTGTTGTGGTTGTATTAATGGAGTAACTCATAGTGAGAGGAAATTAAATGAGCATAGTTATTAGAACAGAAAGGTTCAACATACACAATAAATCAATACTATCTGATGATTTAAAGCCATGCTAAATAGCTAGATTCACCATAAGTATAATATGTGTCAATTTATTACTAGTATGTTCAACAAGGATTCAACAAAAAAAATTGTGTGCCCTCATCAATTATCACTAGTAGGCAAAGTTGGACTAAAATGATCTAGAGAAGAAGGAAACAAAATACCTGAGTTTCACTAGAGATATGGCTTTCTCCCCATCCACCAGTACTGAGCTGCTTTGACAATATGAAGTGGCATGCTTTCCGTATGGAAGAGCTGTTCTCGTACGATCTTCCAAATGCAACTAAACCTTTAATTGAAAAGAAGGCTGCATAGGTGAAACATACACCCCAAGTACCTAACCTGCAAAACAACTATTTGTGTTATCATCTGCTGGCGTAGAAATTCTCTGGGTTAATGGTGCTTTAGGAAAAACCATGAACCGTCTACTTGTTGTCTGCTCTCAATAAATGTTGCTGCATTTCTGATAGATGTTTCTATCTCTTTTGTGCGGTAATCAGGATATAATTCTTGGAACAGTATCAGAGCTTGGAGCACTGAGGAAGTGCATTCTGGGTAGCTGCCAATTCATAATGCAACATGAATTTATTTCATTATCTGAAATGAAATTTTGTAAGAAGGATCTTCTGCTAAACAATATGCCATTTGCATGCATCACTTACGAGTAATCAACACCTATGTTTCGGAAACTCTCACAAGGACTTAGAATCTAGTTAATTAACAGAAAAAAGTGTCAATACAGTGGAGTGTATAAACAGTAAGATGTACTGAAATTAAAATTTAAGATTACTTAATAGGAATTGCATCTTCCTAATGGGAAGTAACAAGAGCATATAAGAGCTCCAGCTTCTAGAAACATACCTCTATCCAAGAAGAAGTTCTTTTGCACTCATATGTAGAAATGGAACCATCTTTGTTCTACAACATAGAATGATTAGCCATATTGAAATGATCTCCACGGCTTAAAACAATGCCGACACAAACATATTTTAAAAAGGATCGAGGCAAAGCAAGCATGGTATTGTTATAGCTAAAATTTCAAGGTCTATAGATTGAAATTTGAAAGCTGAGAAAAACTTGTGCAAATTGTATAAAAAGGTTTCCGATTCATAGCCACATGTAGAAACTTGGTTCCTTAAGACAATTATTCACATACACACTATATTTCATCATATCATCCCCATAAGCATGGTGTAATAGATTTATTTTGTATCAGCCAGCACAAAGTGCAACATTTTTTATTTCCATGGCATATAGTAGCACTGTTGATGGCAAGTTTTGTGTTGCAATTTTCTAGGGTACGAAACAAATGATGACATCACATCAGATGACTGAAGTTTAGAGAATTCATACCACAAAAGATAGAAGGCAATCAATAGCACCATGCAGCCTTTCTCTTTCTATCGGATCCCCAACAAGGTTGTTTTTGTTTGAGATCTTTGACAGCAACAGTAGAGCCTGGAAACAATCACGTGAAATTGCTTTAGAATAGAGGAAATGAAAAGGCATGGGAATGAACAACATATCAAGCAGACACTCTACATTAATTAATATGGTACTTAGTGACCTTAATTTCGTTTCTTCTTAATATAATGGCGGACAACTCTCCTTCTAGTTCAAGGAAAAAAAGTACTTTTACTCATATACATTGAGGCAAAAGAAAAACTAAACAAAGATGGAATAACCTTAAGTGCTTCTCCTGTAGTGTCAGGTATAGCCCATCCATTGTCTGCAGATGAAAGTGTCCATGAACCCTTCGATCTATGCCGATGCCAGTAACTTTGGTCACCAGGATGGTTCCTCAGAACCTTCATGTACACAAATGCATGTTGTGTTTCATCATTGCCCGTGATGGTCAATTATAAATTGCCATGACTTGAAGATAAACAAAACAAACCTGTGATTTTTTTATGAACTCATAGGCTCTCTGCATAGTTGGACCATACTCGTTGACAAGATCTGTAGCGCAAAATGCTTGAATTGTGAATGATGTCTCCCAGCTCTGGCAGCCATCATATACCTACAATGGTAACACACAGCCATGCTTACAAATTATGGTTACATAAAAAAAGGGCGTACCCAGTGTAGAGAGCTCCCGCTCTGTGCGGGGTCTGGGGAAGGGTGTTAGTGGCAAGCCTTATCCTCGCCTGTGCAATGCGAGGAGACCGCGACTCGAACCCGGGACCTTCCGGTCACAGGCGGTAAGACTCTACCGCTTGCACCAGGCCCGCCCTTCAAATTATGGTTACATCCTATGAGAAAATTTACTTGATGTGTATTCATCAATATGTCCAACATACTTGCAATCGTACCAAGACACTTCTATTGCAATATTAAATGATTACATACCTGTGCCTTCATGCCATCCTCTGAAAGCCACAAGAAATCTGCTATCCTTGCAAGGTGAAGCTTGAATGCATCCGAATTTGGATCTTCTACCCAGCAGCAGATCATGTTTAGAGCCTATAAATAACAAAGTAACCAATATTAACATGCACCAATCAGAAGTTCATGATCCACATGATAATTAACAAGAACCATTAGACAGTACATATACTAAATCATAAAGCACAAGAATTCATAATAAGAATACAAGAACAGAACAGAAGTCTGGCCAACTAAAGTGCCAGTAATGAGACATCAACTTTTGTGGATATTTACCTTGTTCACAGTACATACGCATAGGTATTGTGAGTTCTCATCTTCATAATGAATATGCTCCATGAGGCTTCCCAGAGCTCTCTCCCTCAGCTTGTTGACAGGCCAACTGCTCAACACTGGTTCTACACACCTGTAAAGTGAAGTCCAAACAACATTCTGCAACAGTGTACGTGGACAGATGAGGTCCTCCTGAAATGCCAAAAAGAATTTTTTTTAAAAAAAAGTTAAAAATAGACTTAAGAAAAGAGATCCTCTTAGTAATTAGTCCATTATTGCGAGAAGAGCAATCCAAGGTTTTCTTACAGCCTGATGGTTCGACAAATATAAACAGAAATAAACCGGTAGGTGGCTCTATTGTTTAGCTACAACAATTGCAGAGGGAAGGAGGATATCCATATCGGTGTTTGGAAGTTAGGCCTGCACACACTAAAGTAGTTGTCTATTGCAGACCACCGCACCTCTCTCCTGGAATGAGTCTAGTTACACTTACACTGGACAACTATCCAAAAATACAGACAAGTTACAACCCTAGGCCTAATCCAGATAACCACCTAATAGTATGCTGACTATTGACATGGAGTTGGCTGAGCTAGGACAATCCAATAAAGACCACAAATTGATTCCATAACCAAAGATCCTAATAGTATCCTGCCCATATTCATAATACTCGGGTATAATCGAGGTGGTTCGTGGAGCCCAAATAATTTGTACTTATTTTACACGTTAAGTAATTAGGCCGACAAAGAAAGTTTTGAGGATAATGAACTGTAGAACCACAAGGGATGTGGCAACCACCTTTGCACATTTATTACGAGCATTGCTCCAGTCAATCTTGCCATAGGGAGTGTCATAGATCTCCTCTCTTAATGCCAGTACAGTTGGTGTAATCGGTCCGATGAATTTCTTGCCATAAAGATAAGCCATTGGCAGATATACCATACGGGTTAGGCACCAGAATTTCCCTGAAAAGGACATGGTTGGCAGATATAGCAAACTTATTTCAACAGATCCACGTGTATCCAATATATAACGTGCCGGAAGTTGTAATAATGACACAATTTCATAGAAGGAATATATACTTGGATGAAATGGAAGAAACTGAGGAGCGATCCATAGTTCAGGGAAAATTGGATTATTTCCTGACCAATCGAACACTCCAAGTACCTTCAATCAATTGATGCAAAAGAAGAGGTAGTGTCAATGACACTGCCATAGAGAATCAGATATTATGGATGAGAAACGTGTTGTACACATGTATGGATCGCAAAGAATACCGAAAGCCATATCTTTCCCCACTGGGGAATGAATGTTGCACCACCATGGGATAGAATCCAAGCACGCCCTTTAGCCAATGCACCGTTGTTGCCGTATGGCTCCTCGCCGAGAAGCAGTGCCAAACATGCTGCTAGAGCACCGGACAACCGTACTCCATCCACCATCGTCGTTCTACAAATTATTTATTATTTATTTATGAGTAAATTAAAACTAATGCCTTATTATACATAAAAAAGCAAACAATTTGGTGCAAATTGACCTTGTCCCCAACAAGGCCTTAACGAGAGATAATCCAAGAGAATTATGTCATGCCTGATGGTTGTAGATGTAGCGGCATATCTCATGCCGATGTTCTGGTGATATGACAACATTCAGTGATCCAGTGACATACAGGGCAAATATCTGCATATGAACGTGAAAGTATGTTTTATATATCCATATCAGTGCAGAACTAAGCAAGGAAAAAAAAGAAGAAAAAGAGGTAATGGCGTTTTGTCCAGATATAATGCGCACCAAACAAGGCATGATGAACATGACCCCGCTGAAATCACCAGGCCAGTGCCCATCACTCGCTTGCAGTGAAGAGAACTGATCCATGGCCCGCCTCAAGGAGTTCAATACAATTTCTTCAGTGACTTGGTCATCCTACTCAATCTTGATGCGTGGCAGATGACGTTGGTATCTGTTCTGCTTTGCGCACTGCAACGAAAGGATCGATTTTGATTAAACGTTTGACGTAATCTAAGAACAAATTTATTTTTAAAAAAATGAGTATCAGCAGATCAGATAATTGGTGAGGAACATCGATGAGGAACGAGTTGGTCCTTAAGACGAAATAAACAAAAAAAAACCCGCAAATGTTAGGGATGAAAACCTGGTGCTTCAACTTCCTGGCCACGCACACACAGTCACACTCTCGTCATCCGTCAGGGATGATGAAAACCTCGGAAGCTCCCGCCGCCGCGGACGCCCTCGCCAGCGAGGCTTGCGCCCCAGACCTTTGCCTCGGCCTCTCACGCCGGTGATGCATCCTCACGTCGGCTGAAGCCCAGCTCCGTTTTAGCTATTCCGTAGGCCCATGAATCCAGTAACGTGTTCCACAGGGCCCATCAGCACCATCCGGCTCTTGATAATCCACGAAAACGAATGGGCCAACGATTACCATTTTTTTTCTTTGCAAAAGGACACGTAGCGTAATGGTTTCTGCTAAAAAGAAAACTGTAGCCCAGTGGTTACATGAGTGGTGGCTACAGTGAATGAGGCAGACAGTTCAGTGGGACACCAGGGTAACCCTGGTGTTGCACCTATTTTCACCTATTTTTGAGATATTTTTCAGAAAAAAGCAGGGTATACGCATACGTACGTGTTCGGTGGTACTGCACGTTTTCCGCGCACTGGAGGCTACAGAGCCTCCCGATAAAAAAAAGAGTAGTGGCCACCCTTCAGTCGACAGCGAGACATCTGTAATGACTTTGTCAACCCAGTCTTTGAAAATGCTCACAGAAGAAGGGTTGCGTGCTCGTGTTCATAGGCATGAGTATACGTTATTGTGTAATTCTAAAAAAACAACTTTTTTTACTTCATCTCTACTATCAGCTATATCGATGAACTAAAAGTTATTTTAGTGAACTGTTTGACAAAGATGTTGTATATGTAAAACTTCTTAAAACATCCTCTCACAAATCCCATGTAGGGGCTCACTGAACCAGTTGAAGCTGGAGGAAGTGGATATTTTTAGCTTCATCTCATAGCAATATTTTGTGAGAGCACGTTTTAAAAAGTTTCAGCAGTGAAGCTGTTTGAAAACTATCCGTTTGACATAAATAATTTCAAACAGCTCGTGGGGCTGCTAGAGAAACTGTGCCATTCGGAACCATGTAATAGAATAGGACTCAAGTTGTTTCGGTTTTGTCGTAAATTAAATTCTTGCACTCGATGGTCCTAACTCAACCGCACATGTCTTTATATATATATATATATATATATATATATATATATATATATATATATATATATAAAGTATTCCCTCCATCTCTATTGAAAATATTAGCAATATTTACATCTCCGAATAATTTTATTATAAAATACATCTAACGATCTACCTAATAATACTAATTATATATTGTAAATATTAAACTCTCTCGTCTGCTCCACATCCAAAGCACAAGTCTATGATAAGCTCATCTCACGGAGCTACGGTACCGCTGTGTATGGGTGAGGCAGGGGTTTAGAGGTTTTCTCGATCTGCGTGAGAAGAGATCTTCTTCTTAATCCGGAATACCCGGGGACTGTTTAGTCACCTCGGATCGAGTTTTTTTTAAATATTTAGTTAAGATTAAATATGTTTGACTTATCAGAAAGTAAGAACCACAGATAAAAACGGACAGAGGGTGTAGGAAGTAAATTCGGTGGACACACATGGTCCTATCAATATCGCCGTTTATTTATGGGAAGTGAATTCCGTGGGCACATCATCCGTGCGATCCCCTTGTTGTCGATGTTGACATATATGGATGAACAATTACAGTAGTATTCAATCACGTATAGCTGCATGTCCTAGCCACCTTAATTAAGTATTGTTGTGTCTGTGCAATTTAAACTGAACTAGTCACTCATGCAACGAACAATCCTTGGTAGTTATTTGAGTTGTATAATAATAATTATTATTGTCGGAGATTCTCTAGAATGAATTTCTTTTACACATCGGTGTTGATCTAAGCCCTGCTCGTTTGGGCTGGTTTGGCTTATAAGCCATGGCTGAAAGTACTGTTGGCTGGTTTGGTGTGAGAGAAAAATATTGTTCGTTGGCTGATAAGCCATGGCTTATAAGCCAAATACGATCAAACGAACATGCTGCTAGTTTTTTCATTTTTCGAAAATCTAGACTATCAATCAGTTAAGTAAGCTAGTTATTTTGGGTGAATCGATTACATACACGTACGTAGAGGAGCCAAAGCTTTCCATGTGTAGTCAAAGAATCAATGGGTTGTTTTCCATACGTACGTACTTGTTCAATTCGGAGTATATGATTATTTTCACACAACAAAATAAATCTCTCGCTCACTCCGTATTATATATATACCTGCATGCGCATGAGGAGGTCGGCGGACTCCCTCCTCTGGAAGCGATGGTCTCTCCACGTCGGCGCGCTCCTCCGGCGTGCCGTGGTCGGGGTCGAACTCCCACACCGCCCGCCCCACGAAGCCGTTCGTCGACCGCAGCCACGGGCTGTCGTCGCCCTGCCCCACCTTCAGCCTCCACATGCTGCTGCTGCTAGCCAAAGACGTGTAGATATACTACGACCACCCTGGCATCATCAAGAGATCAGGATTGGCAACATAATAAATATATTAATAATAGTAGTAATACGACTCTGACGGTATATATGCAGGCAGCCACCGCCGCCGACGTGTAGTCAGCTAGGAGCGAGAAGTGCTAGCTAGCTGTGGAGTGGAGGTTCTATGAGGGCGAGGCGATTATTTAAAGGAGACTACAAGAGGCGTCGTTGTCGATGAACAAATTATTGGTATATGTTGTTGGTCATTGGGTGACTGCCCTCTCGTTTAATATTGGGAGGCTTTTATTTGTGTACCTTTACACTCCTGCGTATCTCTTAAAAGTTAGTCGTCACCTACATGTCCTCGTTCGAACTTTTCTTTTCCCTCACGCCATTCCGTCCGCATTTGCTCCTAACGGTGGGTAACGGCTCTGGAGAATGACTCAGTTGTCCTTGGAGCTTGTATGGGCGTCTGAACTTTTTCATTTTCCCTGTGCCATTGCCAGACCGATTGGCTTTGACGCCAGAGAATCATCATGCACGTCTCAGTTGCAGTCACTGTTGCAGCGCGTGGGCATGACGGCGAACCGAAGCTGCTGCTGATTTCTTCCTCGGTTCGAAACCACGCTCGTCTGCTATTACACACCAACCACTCCAATGCATAATATGCGTACGATGATTAATTAATAAGATAACTAATACTGTTTCTCGTCTAATTCCCGATCGATCCAAGGAATAAGCAAAGCAACCGCTGACAGATGAGGGACGATGATCGATCATCAAGACACGGGCATGGATGGACATGGGGATGGATAGTTGGGGAGACGTCGCCGTCGCACGCTCGCGCTCGTCTTCTCAAGCAGCTTGTCTGGCTGTCTCTCCTCTTTGTTTAAGTTCCCCGCGGTCTCCAAGCCTAGCTCAGCCAGCGTGCGCGCCCACAAAAACCCACGTCCTCCCCGCCAATCACACCGCACGAACCCAGGACGCGACACCGTCAGTCACCGCGACGTACGTAGCCTCCCTCGTGGTACTAGTTTAGCTCGATCACTTCCACACCGCACCACCGTTGCGTTTCTTTATATCCCGCGGAGGATAAGCTGCCTCGGGGCAGCTGGTGACATCGGATTCGGATCAGGCCGAGAACTGCTCCGGCAAACCTGCCGCGCCCCGTCCCGGCCGTTGTCTTGTCTGCTGTCTCCACTCCAGCCGATCACGCCGCGCGCGCGCGCTTTCTTCCTCTCTGGGGCTGGCCGGGCAAATGGACGGCGAGTGGAGCGACGGGGCGGCGGCGTCCTCGCCGATGGTGTCCGGCGGCGAGAGCAAGGCTGGCGCTGCTGGTGTCGTTTCGTCGTCGGCTGATTGCCCAGGGTCGCCGGTGTCGACTGCGCCACCGTCGACGTCGCCAGCTGCTGCTACCGGTACCGGGAGGAGGCGGTCGGCGAACAAGCGGGTGGTGACCGTGCCGCTGGCCGACGTCAGCGGGCCTCGGCCCAAGGGCGTCGGCGAGGGCAACACGCCGACGGACTCGTGGGCGTGGCGGAAGTACGGCCAGAAGCCCATCAAGGGCTCGCCTTTTCCGAGGTACACGGCACGTACTAAAAGCAATCAATCATCATGCATCCATAGATAGCCCTCGTTTAGTTCGCGAAATTTGGATTTTGGGCTATTGTAGCACTTTTCGTTTTTATTTGGTAAATAGTGTTCAAATATGGACTAATTAGACTCAAAACGTTCGTCTCGTAATTTTCCACCAAACTGTGCAATTAGTTTTTTTTTCGTCTACATTTAATGCTCCATGTACGGGTCACAAACATTCGATATGATAGGTACTGTAGCAACCTTTTGGAAGTTGAGATGAAACTAAACAAGACGTTACATGGTCGCCCCGTGTTCTTCGAGTTCTTGTGGATGCACCACTCTAGATTTTTTTAATTTTTTCTTATCTGGATTTCGGTTTTGTCGTTCGGAGCAGGGCTTACTACAGGTGCAGCAGCTCCAAGGGGTGCCCGGCGAGGAAGCAGGTGGAACGGAGCCGGGCCGAGCCGGACAAGGTGATCGTCACGTACTCGTTCGATAAGGCGCCAAAGCTGGCAATGGCACATGAAAAACGAAAAAGTTCAGACGCCCATATAAGTCTAAGGACAACTGAGTCATTCTCCAGAGTCGTTACCCACCGTTAAAAGCAAATGCCGACGGAATAGCGTGAGGGAAACGAAAAGTTCAAGCGAGGGCATATAGGTGATGACCAACTTTTGAAGGATACGTAGGAGTGTAGCATCTTTTTTAAAGGTACACAAATAAAAGCCTCCAATATTGGCCATACATATTGTAGTTGATAGACCTTGCTGATTTCTTATATATCCGGCCAGATCCACTGGTCAAATTTTAATAAATGCGTTTGGATAATATCCTTTTTTGATTGGGTATAGCTTCAACCATTCCTACCCCGTAGTAATAACTCTTCAAAGGCCTAAGGGGCATCAGCAGTGTATAGGATTGGCCCTGGTTCTATCCGTTGATTTGATGGCACTTGTTAAAAATGTGGCAATGTATCGAACCAACACCGGACCTATAAGTGGAGCCCACGACATTAAAAAAACACTGGTAGCAAGGGCGGCGTCCTGTACTCCTGTGGGCGTGGCCGGAACGGCAGGAGAGAGAACGGTGGATGGGAGCGGGTTCGATCGATGGGAGCAGGTTCTTCACCGAACCAGCGACACAATGTATCGACCCGGCTCCATAAAAGATAGGACCGGTATCGAACCGCACACTGCGGATGCTCTAAGGCCTATGGACTATGGTACATACATATCCATTCGGGGCTAGCTGCTGCACCGTGTCGAGCTCGGGGATGGTTCCTCCCTGCCCGTGCATATCCGTAATCCACCCTAGCTCGGCCCCGGCGGCCGCGTGGTTTTCCGACCTCTCATCAGTCTACGCCCAAGTAACCTGCGGCTGCGGCGCGACACGTACGTTGCTCGCGCCGTTCCTTCTCCCTTGTCGTCTTTCTCACAGTCCCTGTTTAGTTGCACCCTAAAATACTAATTTTTTTAAGATTCTCCGTCACATCGAATTTTTGAACGCATACATGAAGCATTAAATAAAAATAAAAAATAAAACTAATTACACAGTTTAGACGAAATCCACGAAACGAATATTTTAAACCTAATTAAACTATGATTGGTCACTAATTACCAAATAACAACAAAAACGCTACGGTGGCATTTTGCCAAAAAATTTGTCATCCAAACTGCCCCTTGTCCGATATCTCCCTGACACCTCCTCGCTGCTCCCTCTCACACTGGAAGCGAGATTGTACGTGCAGCTCGGCACTCTATTCCATGGTCCATGCGTGTCTACGTGGACCGTGGTTCTTGTTAACGGAAGCCCGGCCACATGACCTTTTCGCACTCTGGAGCTTCCATGTACATGCATGCTGACGAAGGACGGCGGACGGCAGGTTCGATTCTACCGCAGTTGCGTTATACGTACTGCATCATCATCAGCTCGTCTCTGAGACAAGATCAAGTAACAATCAGATTGCAGCTACTCCAAACAGAAGCTCAGGAAACAAAGGTTCCGGACTTCATGCAACTACTGCATGGAAGCCCGCGCTTGATATGCCGTCGATTGGAAGGAAGAGCCGGGCAATGTTGTGACTTGACGCCAATTGGAGCCTTTATTTAGCAATAGTACTCCTGCTTTCTTTTTCTTCTCAAGTTCTCATGTCGCCAGTACAACAAAATCGAGGAGGCTCCAATTGGCGACACCCTATTGCTTCGTTTGTCATATTTCCAAAACAACCATCACAATTCACAAGCTACAGACACCCAGAATCGACACAATACCAGTGCTGTAATGGAGGCGTCAATCCATCTTCTACTTCTACATGTGGGAGGTGAACCCGTTATCAGCGATGATTCCATGTTCACGTTACAATGGAGCCATCTATGCATCTTTGTTTTTCGTCTAATAATTCTATATAAGACACAGGCTAACCATACAAACAATTACGTACAGGATTCAGTGGTGGCGCATCGTTCTCTACAACACACATACCAACACCAACACGACCTTCAGGACTTCAGTTGCTCAGGCCCTCCATCCCCAGCACGTCCCCCGAGTCGACCACGACCTGCAAACGTAGAACAAGAAGAACGCAATCAGCACCGACACGTGCAACATAGTGGAGTTTGCATTCATATATGGCACTACCAACCTGCTGCAGGTGGCTCATCAGGGCTCCATGCAGCAGCTTCTTGAGCCGGTCGCACTGATCCACGCTGTGGCCGGCGCGTTGCATGTCACCCAGTTGGCACCACAGCCTCTCCACTGCCGTGTACGGGAACCAAGCGGCGGACATCTTCTTGCGGTGGAGAAGGTCCGCTGGCCTCTGCAAATGGTTCCCAGGGATTTATATGTTAAGATTGTAAAGATCTTGCATTTGGATATTTCAGTCTGTCGATCCATTACCGATGATGCGAACGGCTCTAAATACTCCACCAGCGTTGGTGGCTTCTGCATGGCGTCCGTAGTTTATGTATAGTCTGAATAAGGCGGCAGGATCTCCCTCTTTCCCAGACATGCCCCACGAGATCTTGTTCCCTGCCTTGTTAGTCTCAAAAAAAGCAAAGGGTAGCAGCCAAACAAAAGGTCGATCAGCACTATTATACAAAAATATATAATTAGCCAGAGACAGTATTTATCAGGAACCCACCTTGAACATCTGAACCAACCAAAGTGGTAGCTCAATCTCGGGATCAGTATAAAGAAGCGTCTCAGCAACAATGACTGGCAACCTAGGATGCAGATCTTTGTATTTATCCTGCAAAAACAGGAATAAAAGTATTGACAACGCAAAATACAGATACTGTTTCGTTGTTGGGAACACAGAAAATATCAAACACACAGTACATTAAGTGCTTGTTTGGATATTAAAGTATCCTACAACTACAGTTTTGTGTGAAAACACAGTTTGTCAAAACCATGGTTTTCTACAGTTTTTTAGGAAACCACAATTTGTTTGGCTATTGCAGTATGTAGCGCAGTGCTTTGCGTTTTAATCGTATATTTATCAAGTTAAGTAGAATGTACCATATAATTAATAAACCAGAACCTACATATATATGCTTACATTTCTATTGTACTTAGCTTTTACATGTAACACTACATACAACATTGAGATGTGTAGAACGGTAGAAGTTATAATACTTTATGTATGGGAGATTAAACATGTATTTTTTTTTGTTTGCTCTATTCTTTATTTTTTTTAATAAAAGTCATGTAGCTGTTTGATCTTTTTTCCTAAAGACTCGGCTTGAGTTGATAGCTGTGTAATTAGCTTGTCAAGCACCTCACTTCTGCAGCAAGAGCATGGAGAGCACGCCAGACATAGCTCTGTTTTAAAAAAAGTGGATGTTTAAAAAGTCCAAAAATACCATGGTATCTAAGAAACTACAGTTTAGAAAACGTCATAGTTTGTGGTATCCAAGCACTTCAGGCTCCGTTTGGGTTTTGTTGTTTCCTAAAACTGTAGCATTGCGAAACCACAGTTTTAAAAAACGTAGGCTTGTAATACCATAATATTTAGAAACCAGTGTTTCTCTGTTTAAAAAAAGCCATGACGTGTTTGGCTACACAACAATACGTTGCTTTTGAGACTAGTTGGTTGTCTTTGCTGCTAAAAAATAGCATGTATCTCTACGTACAAAACCTCGCATGCAAACTATCACAACTCTATCTGAATATCTATATATAGAATAGAAAGCAATGTCCAAACGCCGCGGAGGGTGGACGAGCGTCGCGCGTGCCAAGCTCTGTCAAAAATAAAGAGGGTTGGGACTGAGTTTTTTAGACTCCAAAAAAACTATGGTTTTATCAATACCGTAGTTTCTAAAACTCCAAATTAATTACATCCAAACACCTTCTTTCTTTTAGATACCTAGGTATTTTAAAAAACCATGGTATTAATCTAAAACTCTAGAAAAACTTTGTATCCAAACAGGGCCTCAAAGTTTTGATACTATGGTGTTTTTAGAAACCATGGTATTTGTCTCAAAACTCTAAAATCCAAACAGGCCATAAGGCGCAGAAAAGGCATAACTAAAGTCTAGCACATGTACAACATGCAACTTGTACTCCAAGTTGTACCTTGACTAATATATATGAAATCCCCCCCCTCCCCACTCCGCCCCAGCCCCACCTGTTGGAGTTGCTAAGGTTGCGCAGGAAGTAATCGTGGGAAGTGGGAGGAATGGGCGACGAGGCTGGGACGCCGTCCTGTTGGCCGACATCGAGGAATGGGCGAGAGCGAGCTAGACCACTAATCAGATAAAGATGGAAAAAATTGTTGATTGCAAAACACTACAGATAGTTGGAAGGACCCAAAAGGTTAGCATTGGTTCCTATAGAAGCAGCACAATAAAAGAATAGTCAATTTTCATATGTATATGCCACTGCTCACTGACTATCCCACGAGGTCAACAGTAGCAAAGTACTAGCTCCTTTTCTTTTTGCAAGGGGACACGCAACCCGAGTTTTTTTTCTTGAACACGGAGGTGAGCTGTGTATCATTATATTAAGAGGAAAGGAGGGGCAAAAGCCCAAATACAAACACCAACACACCCCAAGAACAGAAAACTAAAAAGGATCTCACCCTTAGGAAGGACCTAAAAGGTTAGCACTGGTTCCTATAGAAGCAGCACCATAAAAGAATAGTAAATTTTCATATGTATATGCTGCTGCTGACTGACTGACCCATGAGGTCAACAGTAACAAAGTACTCGCTCCTTTTCTTTTTGCAAGGGGCACACGCAACCCAAGATTTTTTTTCTCGAACACAGAGGAGAGCTGTGTATCATTATATTAAGAAGAAAGGAGCAAAAGCCCAAATACAAACACCCACACACCCCAAGACGGGAAAACTAAAAAGGATCTCACCCATGGGAGGGCCAAGAGCAAAGAGGAAGGATACGCCTCTGGCCCCAGCCAAATGCCAACAAAACAACTCCTTAGCGCAACCCAAGATTTGAACTTGTTAATTTTTTACGGACACTTAATCTAAGAATTTGCAAATGATACCACACAGATTTGGTATTATTGGATTCATATTTGAAAACACTTCCATATGACATCAAATCCATAGTTATGAACATTATAATATATGAGATATTAACGGTCGAAGTGTGACTTTGGAGACAGCACCAGGTCAAATCAAGCCTTACAAAAAGAAAAGGAGGGAATATAGTTCAACACAGTACTCCGGGGATAGAGATCCCCAACTTAGAGAAAAGTAATAAAAGAAGACCATTCAAATAAAGACATACCAAATATAGTTCAAGGGTTTCCCAGTGGTTGCTCCCCTGCAGTTGTTGGGTCACAGGAATACTCTTATTGTTGATCTCCCATGCATCATTCTCAGAAGAAGGCAGGAGTGGCACTTGTTGACTGTCAGTCAAACTTCTCCTGTAATTAGGTTACATCTCACGTCATTAGTTAACACTATTATTTGTCAGCACAATAATCTGCCCATATGTGCAATTAGAGGGGCCAGTCAACATACCTTGATTTGTTGTCTGCTCTGTTCGGGCAGCATTGCTGAGCAATGACTGAAAAGACACACTCCAATTGCCTACAACAGAACAATTGAAACAATAGATAGTCAGACTGAATCATAGACACAGAAGAGAACATGACAAACAGCAATCCATTAAGACAGCGCTACAGGCAAAAAAAGGAAAAGAAACAAGTAAATGCAAAGTACTTTTTCATTCCTGACTCCTTCCAAAATTTGAGCACAATTGTGAAGGCCAAGTCATACAATTTCTCATTTATAAGAATATCCATCAGGGACTCAATTGATTGGCTTTCTGCAGTCACACAAAAACGGATTTCAGTGTTTAATATTAAAGATTGTTAATTAAGATATTGATCTCCATAAATTCAAGCAATAAAGTCCTATGATTAGTTTTGGAGATACCTGAAAAATCAAATATTGATTTCAGAGTGCTGAGCATATACTGTGCTTCTGTTAATATGTATTCTTTTTCAAGGATTTCAATGTCAACACAAAATTGCAATCTAGAAAGCTCAGAATCTGTGCCAAAAGCCGCTGGAATAGAGAACAAAAGTTAAACCAAGCATGTTGCTGTGCAATGAGACAAATCAAACAGCAATTGAAAGTCTGACAAAACATACAGTTCTCCATCAAAAGATTCCGAGGTCTTTTACTTGGAGAAATTTGATCATCAGCTTCACAAATAGAGTTGAGCCATGCAAATGAGGGATCAACAAGCTGCAATGCGTTGATAGCAGCAGATAAGCGTGCAACCTCTCTTGCAACACGTGAGGAAGTTGGTGGCTGCCACCTGCATTACCTTCTCTATTCAATCTAATATAGTACCTGTACATGTATGCAGCTGCTTTCCTCCATTTGTTCCTATGTGCTTCAAATGAATAAAGAACCTTATAGAGATTTGGTCTAGACGACAGATCCGAGCGTTCAGCCTGCAAAAACAAAAATAAGATCGGCATGGAAGAAAGGAAGACACAAAGATTGGACTATGCTGAAAATGGCGAACCTTCCAGAAGAGCTCTTGCTCCACTTTCTCTACCAAGTTAGTGAATGGAATCTCTCCATTGCAAAGAACCTATTTCCATGAATAAGAGGCAAATTTAAGCTCCAATCTAATAGTGAGTATCCCTTGCATAAAATGATGAGGAAAACAACTGGATAACACAAACACAGACAAAATTTGATTTATATGACTTCTAATTAATGATGTTTAGAGGAAAGCCTGCTAGATTGGTCAATATGTCCTGCATACAGAAAACGATTTTAACTAACAATGTTTAGGGGAAAGGCTGCTAGACTGGCCAACATGCCTTTCATACAATAAAAGGAAGACAAGAAAAAAAAAGGCTCAAACACAACAAAAGCATCCAAGTAATGATTTTTTGGTAATAATAGTAGTTAGAGGAGCCAGTTTGATCTGTTAACGTACCTTGCTTATACAATCGAAAAGAAAATAATCAAATAGCTAACACATTGCACACTTGTAGATTTTCTCTAACAAAATTTAGCAGAAACCCGTTGGACAACATCCCACACTGCATGAACCCCCTTTTCCCCAATGTAAGAATACCAAAAAAGTAGAATAAAATAAAATGTGGTAGATCATGTCAACGACCAAGATAGAAGTCTTATGGTACCTATGTATGGCTGTAAACATGTGTCATGACCACTAGCTATAATACTTACAAAATCACGTGCCTGCCAATCAACTTATTGCTGCCTAGGCACTATGGTCCACCTCAAAACACTAAAGATGCCCATGGACAAATCGGGGGAAAAAAGATGTAAAGAATAATGCAAATAAGCAACTTAATATGTCAAACCTTTGTCTCCCCAAGATCACAAAGAACTATGATGAAACGCCTCAAACAAATGTATTTGCTATCATCATCCGGGTTTGAGACGATCGCGCAATATGCATCTCGAAAGTGTTTCAGATCCAAGCTGTATTTGAATACATTAGCCCATAATCGTCCTTTAATCATTGCTGCGGTCTCTGGAAGGCCCTCAGCTTCAATTCCATTATCTAACCCGTCAATGATATCAACTAGTTCAAGAGCAGCAAGAGCAAATTGGCACGCCCCCTCGCTCATGGAGTGTTGCTCAAAAATTTGCATTGCCCACTCATAGTAGTTAAGTCTCCACAAAGAAATAGATCTAGATTCCCCTGGGAAAAAAAAGGCAAACAGTAAGATTGTAAGAATATAAATTAAATGCAATATAGAACAAGTAAAGCTAGGAGAATGATGTCACCAGAAACTTGAAACCCTGTTTCCAATGAAAAGTTCTGCAAAGCCTTTGGAGCTTCATACCCGGACGCAGCCCTGTTTTCCAAAGTATTTGTCAAGTTAATACCAGAGAAAGCGCCAACAGGTAGCCCAATTATAAGTTTATAACAAAAAAAAAAGCAATATTAAAAAGGAAATACACAATGTGGCAAGTATACACATCCAAGAGTTTTATTCTTACTATATATTTTCAAGCCTTTCAGGGCTCCATCCTTCTTGAGTTATGGATCCGCACCCCACCCCCTCTAAAGATAAACTAAAACACTCCTGCAATTTTTTTATCTTAAATAAGGTGACCCTAAGAGTTACATACCTTTGATCCCATAGCATCAACTAATATATGGTGCCGCCTCAGTTCTCAAGTCTGAACTATTTGTTTCACAGAACCTGAGAACTAGGCAACTAAATCAAATGAAGTGACTCCTACCAGAAAACATTAACTTAAACAATTGGATTGCTCGCTTGAAAATCCCTTACCGATATTTATCAAAAGACACAAGGAGATGTCCAGCAACACTACCTATCCTACTACCTATCTCCAGTTTGGGTAGTGGATGGTAAAAAATTCACTCCAGCAGACTACCTACTAGACCCCAACAGATTTGTTGGCTACGCAAATTCCCCTCTCCACTACCCATTCCTGTTGGGCCAAGGTGGCTACCCAAAATTTTCTCGCTCTCTTTTCTACCCCTGCAGCCGTGACTGACGCCGCTGCCTGTCCGACGCCGCTCGCAAGAACACCCCGACGGCGGCCTTCCACGACCTCGCCGCCCCGCCCAAGGCCGCCTGGGACGCCCCTCCCCCCGGCGCGACCTCCGGCGAACGGCCCTCCCCCGGTGCGACCTCTGGCGGACGCCCCTTCCCTGTCGCGGCTCCTAGTGCTGGTGTGGCTCGCCTCCGCCACGGCTCCCAGCGCAGGCAGCGGCTACCCTCCGCCGCAGCGGCAAGGATGCGGCGGACCTCCCCGGCGGACGCCCCTCCTCCTCCCGACAATTCCCGACCGGATCTCCGCGGAGCGGCTCTCCTCCGTCTCCCGGCTGCTGCAGCACAGCGTGGCCCTCCCCAGTGGCGCCGTGGCCTGCCCCGGCGGCGTGGGCGGCCTGCCCTGTCACATCTCCAGCCACCTCCAGCTCCATCCATGGCGAGAAGAAGAACAAGAGGACGACGTATGGGACCCGCGTGTCATTCTCTGCTAGGATTAGTTTGGGTAGTCTGTTTTACGCTGGCGGATGTCATCCAAGTTTTTTCACTCTCTCTCCATCACATCAATTTTTAGCTGTTTGTATGGGGTATTAAATATAGATAAAAAAATAACTAATTACATAGTTTAGTTGGAAATCACGAGATGAATCTTTTGAGCCTAATTGGTCTACGATTGGACAATATTTGCTAAATAAGACGAAAGTGGTACTATTTATCAGGTTCACTTTTTTGCAAAATGAACGAGGCCTGGAGTTGGAAGCGAAATTTGTATGAAAATGGGTGGCTATCAAATAAACACGTAGGCAGTGTGATTTGGGTAATATTGATGGAGATGCTCTTAATAATTGAGTTAGGTTGGGTAGGATACTCAAATACATACAATTCAATATTGTAATATCTATAAGCAGTCTGTTCGGTTGGCTGGTTCATATCATTGCTGGTTCGTCAAAAAATATTGCTGGTTGGTTTGTATGAGAGAAAAATACTATTTCGACTAGAAATTTATGATCGTTTATGATAAGTCATAGCGAAACGAACAGGTCGAAGATCATCATTAGTTCATTGGTGTGGAAAGTAGGCCTTACAGTAAAATAACAAAATTACACTAATATTGCATGTACTAATATACATGAAATTAGTTATTTAAATGATAATCCTATCATGCTATTTGAAAAAAAAGTAGACACTGACATGCCATCCGAATAATTTTTCCTCGTTATAGAACCTTATGGCCTGCATCCTTAAAACTAGCATTGCTAGCCAGGCCTTGTTTAGATATCCTCAAAATTTCAAGTTTTTTCACTCTTTCTTTATCACATTAATTTTTAGCTATTTGTATGTAGCATTAAATATAGGTAAAAAAAATAACTAATTGCATAGTTTAGTTGGAAATCACGAGATGAATCTTTTGAGCTTAATTGATCCATGATTAGACAATATTTACCAAATAAGACGAAAGTGCTACTATTTATCGGGTTAGAATTTTTTTCAATCTAAACAAGGCCCTGCTAGATTAGCATCTCCTAGTGACCTCCAACCAGGTGTACAGAGCGTAGTACACCTAGTGTCAGGTGGCGTTTTTTATTCACCTTAGGGCTTAGGCTATCTCCACCAATAATACCTAAAATACAAGATATATTCGTCCTTTAGATAGCGTTACAAGTAAAAGGTTCAATATCTATTCGGCATCTTCACTAATAACAAGACAAAAAAAAGAATCTTTTCTGTAAATGGGTTTTCAGGAGAGAGGATGCTTATATTTAGGTTGTGCCTCTCAGACAACCTAAAATAGGTCTCCCGTATAGATACTACGTTGAAGACTGATTTTGAGTCTCTTGCTATCTATTTTGGTTTTAGGTATCTATATAAGTTTTTTTATAGGAGTATCTATATAAGTTTTTTTATAGGAGATAGTCTTACTAATTCCTACCCCTCCGTTTCAAATTATTTGACAGGTTGTTATTTTTTCTAGATATATTGTTTAATATGTACGTAGACATAATATATATCTACGAGAAAAAGACAAAATATATTATAATCTGAATTGAAGAGAGTAGTTGCTAGCTATTAGCAACACGAGTAGGTACGGAAATGTGTCGATGCGCTCATTTTCTTCTATTTGGCCTGTTCGGTTGGCTGGTTTGTATCGTTGCTGGTTCGTGAAGAAATACTGTTGACTGGTTTGTGTGAGAGAAAAATACTATTCTGGCTGAAAATTTATGATCGTTTAGGATAAGTCACATCCGAACAAACAGTTGCTTTCTCCTGGTACTAAACAAAGTTGCTCCCTGCAAAGGCCGCTCAGTTTGACTTTAGAATTCTATAGTTTTCATTAGAAAGGCAAAGTTGATATTTCACGAATACGTATGTGTTTGATAAAAAAAAAACAGAAAAAATAACCTTCCGCCAAATAAATTCTATGATAAATAACTAAATTGAGCCATCTTTAGATGACGTTTTTAAGGAATCACAATTTTAATGTTTTCAATTCAAATAACTAAATTTTAAAGCCTGTTCGCTTGCTCATATACGATCGTGGATTATAAATTAGAATAATATTTTTCTCTCACACTAAATTAGTCAGCAGTAAATAATCCACGATTGTTTACGGCCACCCAAACAGGCAGCAAAGTCAGATCAGATCAATCAAAGTTGTCAGTGCGTGTTTAGTTTTGGGGAAAGTTGGAATTGGGTACTGTAGCACTTTCGTTTTTATTTGGCAATTAGTGTTCAATCATGGACTAATTAGGTTCAAAACGTTCATCTCGTGATTTCCAATCAAACTGTGCAATTATTTTTTTTCGTCTACATTTAATGCTCCATGCACGTATCACAAGATTCGATGTGACAGCCACTGTAGCACTTTTTTAGGAAGTTTTTTTTTCAACTAAGGTCTTGTTTAGATTGCAATTTTTTTGCAATCTGGACACTGTAGCACGTTTCGTTTGTATTTGACAAATTTTGTCCGATCATAGACTAACTAGGCTCAAAAGATTCGTCTCGTAATTTATAACCAAACTATGTAATTAGTTATTTTTTTTAACCTATATTTGATGCTCTATGCATATATTTAAAAATTGATGTGACAAAAAGAAAGTGAAAAAACTTGGAATTTTGAGGCAATCTAACCAGGCCTAAACGGCCTCAATTTGTGTACGGTGAAACGTCAGTATTGCACTACTCCGTGATTTTGCCACCGAGCCATCCCTCAAAACAGGGAGGCAAATCCGACCCCACCTGCAAGCGACCAAGGGCTCAAGGGCCAAGGCCACCGCGTTTTTCTGGAACCATCTCCCTTCCAGCGCAAACCAACCAACCAACCGAGCAAGCTTTACCAAACAAGCAGAAGCAGAACACACAACACAAGCGGAGCGCGTGCGAACTCGGGAGCGCGAAAACCCTCCCCGCCCAAGGAGTATCCCCTGCCGCGGCGCGCGAAGGAATCAAATCCCCCGACCGGCCGCCCTCGCGAGCCGCGGCGGGGACAGCGGAAGCAGCAGCACTCCGGAGCAGCCAGCACTCGCTCGACCGGAGCGGGGTTCTGTGGGAATCTCCGAATCTGCGGAGTTCGTGGCCGGATTTGGCGGCGCGGGGGTGGGGCCTTCTCGTTTCGGGCGAGAAGATGGTGGGGTTCGCGGGGAAGAGGAAGGAACTGGAGCAGGTGGTGGATGGCCTCTCCGACTTCTCCCTCTCCGGCCCCGCTGCCAAGAGCCGCAGATTGGTGAGTTGGTGAGCTGTTTGGGCTTTTTTTTAGGCTTCTATTAATTTGGGGCTCCTATCTGGTTTGCTGGCGCAATATTTTGCCCTAATCTTGTGCTGCTACTATGCCTGCGAATTCATCCTTTTAATTAGTGATGATTGGTGGACGCCTGACTAGGGTGGTTGATTATTGGGATTTGGGAGCGGTTACATGTTAGCAAATACAGTAAAATTCTTTTTTTAAGAAAAAAAAGGAAGATATTGCTTCAAGTATTATCTTGCACTTGATATTTATCTATACTTGCTGTCATGTCCATGACCTGCCTTTATAAGTGGCTATTTGATTAAAGCGTCTTCACGCAATTCAGCATAATAGATTCAATAGATGTTTTGTCAGATCTGTGTCCAGTTTCTGTACCGTTTTCCTATTTCTGATTAACTACCATTAGTTTACTCAGCAGCATCTGCTCTGTCAGGAGCTTCCTACTGAATAAGTTAATGAAAACGTCTTTCTGCAAAGAGCGTATGCAATCAGCAAATCAGTAGCCCTTTCGTAGGTCAGCCTAGTTTATGAGAATGCGTGTTTTGTTTACATGCTGTTATTGCCAGATTTTGTTGTTGTTGCTTCCATTGGAGTTCTTCTTTGGTGTAGAAATGTAGCGAGGTTTATCCGATGATGATATGCAGGGTGTTCTTATGGCATCATCTCCATATGTTTCTATGCATTTGCTGTGACAGCCCTGTTGTCTAGCAAAGTAGCACCCTGCTTTCTGTTTGATCACTTCAAGTGAAGAAGGAAAAACCATATACATGTCACAGTTTTCCACTGCATATAGATAAGCAAGGTTCATCATGCATGGTGCGCTGCATTTCTTGTTGTGCATATAGTAAGCATTCTGTCATTTTGTTGTTTTACTTTCCTTGGAAGT